GGCTGGGGTCTCCAGCCGAACGCTCGGGGCTGGGGGGGGGGTAAATTTTACCCCCCTGTTATCTCCCGAACTAATGGTCCGATTTGGAAAATTCAAACGCCAATCGAAAGCTCTCATCACGAACTACTAAAAACATGTACTTAATTTAAAGTTTGAGGTCAAGGTCAAGGTCAGGTCAAGGGTACTAATTGCAAGTTTCTACAGTATCGGCCTTGCACCGTAGTTGCCGAAGAATGGAGTCATGGACTGAGACTGATCGCCCAAAACGTGTTCTTAGGCTACCAAGACCATATTCGTTGCATACAATATCATTCAGAGGTCAAGGTCAAGGTCAGGTCAGGTCAGGTCACCAAAAAACAAAATATAGAAAAGGGCATGTGCGACACATGTTTTATGGGTCATTTTACTCATAGAATTCAATAGGCACACTCAATAAGTGATATGGACCACCTCTGGATGAATTTCAGGTCGAGGTCAGGTCAAGGTCAGGTCAAGTGAGGTCAAATTTTGAAGTTGGTTGTTAAGGCCCAAAAAGGTGTCTATCTGATGCAGGTTTTCACGGCGAATCGAATGGTGCTATTTTTGTTTCCGTACGAGGTCTAGAACTTCTAAAAAAGTCATTTTTCAAAAATTTTGTGTGTCGTGACGTCATAAAATTTTGAATAACTCACACATTTTTGAACCGATTCTTCTAAAATTTGGTATGTAGGTGCACATAGACGACTTCTCTGACATATATTCCGGTTTTTTCGATAGACACAAAATTTTGGATTTTATAATGATTTTCCCAAAAAAGTCAGTTTTTTGAAAAAATTTAGGCCAAAATCCAAAATTTTCAAAAAACCGAGATAGCCATTTTATAGACAAAGTAAAATTACGTATAACCTTTTTTGTTACGTCTTGATTCCTTTAAAAATGAAGATGTTAGCGGCGTTTGAACTTTTGCCGTTTTTGAGGCGAAAATGGCGAACATGACGTCACTAAAACGTCAATTTCTCAAAAATTTTCCAACGGATTTCGCTCAAATTTTCAGGGAACGTGTCAAATTGATGTAAGAAAAGGTACTGAAAGTTTGGCGGCGCTGCGCGCCACCGTTTTTGAGATATCGCAAAAATTCGCGAGGGGGGGGTAAAATTTACCCCCCCAGCCCCGCGCGGGTTAAAGTTGAATTTTGAGGTCACAGGTCGGGTCAAGGTCAGGTCAAACACCTGAAATCGGGCTTTCAGTAGCATTGACTTCAGGACTTCGCAATGGGCGCCTCTCGTCATAATCTCTGTCAAAACGGTGCACAATCTATCATATAAGGCCTACAAGAGTGTCAGCTCCATGTAGGGGTCAGTCAAGCATCGGTCAGGGTCAAGGTCAGGTCAACCAGGTAGGCACGTATCCCCAAAAATCAAAACTGATATTCGCAGCCTGTGACACATGTTTTATGGGTAATTTGGGACGTAGAACACGATGGTGACATTCATTTTATCATATATGTACGTGTTTGGCTCAAAAAGTTGAATTTAAGAAATTCATGTATCATGGTCGTGAAGGAGTCACGAGAAATTGCCAAGATTCAGTTCAAGATTTTGGAAAATGTGGAACGATAATCAATAATCGAAGATAGCCATTTGATTGTTCATGGAATTGGCAGTCTAATGGCGTTTACGGCATGTCTGTATGTCTATTCTGTGATTTTATATGATTTTTTGAACATATACCGTTTTTGGTCGAAAACTCATAAATCATGACGTCACTAAAACCTCGATATCTCAAAAACTTTCCGACCGATTTTTTTAAAACTTTGTCACAATGAACTTCAATCAATTCCCTACAGGTACTTAAAATATGGCGCGCCTGCGGCGCGCCGTTTTTATGCTATGGCCCGGCGAAAAAAGTGGGGGCGTTTAACGCCCCCCCCCCCCAGCAACTCGCGGGTTAACAGCCCAACGGCTAGTTTCCATTTACTTATTTTTGGTTGCGTATTGAATAACTTCTGCAACAGCCAATAACAGTCTCAAAACAACGCTGTACGCAGCAATACAGTGGTTTTATCCAGGCGCCACTTATCCGCGCATGACTGGGGGGAGGGCTCTACAGAGCCCCCTCCCGTTTTTCGGCAATATCTTCTAAACCGTTTCACGGATCAGCACGAAACTTTCAGTATTCTCAGCGGTATCAATGCGACACCTTGTATTAAAATTTCTAGCTACCACAGTTTGGCCTGAAATGACGTCAGAGTGACGTCATGTCGGTCAATTTTGATGCAAAATATTTTTACGGCAAACGCTCTCAAGAGCTTAGTTTTAACCTTCGCCCCAGTGGGGGGGGGGCATATGTTACCACCCTGTCGCGTTTTTTGCGTGTAAATAAAAAACCGCGGCGCTAGTGCCGCGCCGCTTGGGGTAGCTTTTCGTACATCAATTTTTGACAATGTGTGAAATTTTTGACCCCAGGTCATGTCAGGTCAGGTCACCAGGTCACGTTAACTGACCAAGCCTAAAAAAGTTTGCAATCATGTCCAGCCTGCAGTGTTTGTCAGAAAGGTTTTAAACTTGGTGGATTGCATGATGTTATGGGCGCCTACAATTTGTAAATCTCGGATTTTTTATATCCGTGACCTAAGGTCAGGTCAGTGGCGTGACCTTTCCATGACAAGTCAATGGAGAAAAATGAAAATGCCTCTAGATCCGTGTGTACGCATAGGAACAGTCCAAATATTTCAGAATCACAATGATTTGGACCACCCGTGATGACCATGGTGTCATTTTTGCTGATAGCCTCTAGAAAGGTCATCCGAGGTCATTTGAGGCTACAAGATTTTTGCGAATAACTCGCGATTGGAAAGAGATAGAACGCTGGGGATGGTCTCATTGTGTTTTTCTTGCTCAGACGCATCGACTGATCTGCAACATGACCTTTTCCGGTCAGGTCATGACCTTGACCTTAGGTCAAAATTTCAAGTTGACCTTTCAAGGTCAAATTATAGTTCATTCGACGTGTCTCGGCGAGAGGAACACGATTCTGGCAATATAGATGTCGTGGCTTTTTGTAGCTATTATTCGAAAGTTATTGCCGAAAAAACACTTTTCGTAAAAACAGTTTTTTTTGGAGTTTTTGCCCTCTGGATGCTAAACCGTTGACCTGAGGTCAATTTTGATAATGACCTTATCAAAAGAAGAGTTCAAAAGCTATCGATTGCTTTTCCATGCGTTTTTCTAGCTAGCAAAATCCCGGTTTACATAGCATTTTTGACGAGGCTCTAGCTCGTTAATTTGGCGATAATGTCGATGCAGTGATCTTCAAATATTTAGAGGGGATCATTTTGTAAATTGTTAAGCACCATTGGCATCTTTTGCAACATCACGGACGGAGATATAAGCTTGCAACAAACCCTATGTAAACCGGTCTAAAGTTCCTGAGATAACGGCATGTTTCCTGAAAAATATAATGACCATTGGCAAATTTTGACCTTTGATGACCTCTGGTGACCCCAATATTGCTCTAAGATGAAAAATTACCGAAATACTTTCAAACGTACGCATTGAGAGCTATCGACTGCTTTTTACCGCGTCTTTCTATCCCTCTTAGTTTTTGAGTTAGAGGTGGGTGGTAACATATGCCCCCCCCCCCCCACTAGGGCGAAGTTGGCTGAGACCGCCACTGGGGCGCGGGTTAAAAGCTAGCTCCAATTTCTTTGCATCTGTGGACTACCAATCCACGTAGCTATCAAAATAATATCTCATGTTTAGGAGGCTAAGAAATCGGTAAAATGTTGGTATTTTCCTCATGTTCCCAAGTTGATTTGGTTTCAGTATTTCTCCACGGTTTTGGTTGGTATTTGGTTTGGTATCGGTATTCCGATTTTCCGTAATTGACATCACTAATCTGAACGCTGCACCCGGTATCAAATCACACCAGATCACATCAGATCACACCAGATCGCACCGGATCGCACCGGATCGCACCGGATCGCACCGGATCGCACCTCACCTGTGTGCAGTCGCCGGCCGAGTGAGGGGTACATGGGTGCCACGGGGCTGCTGCGACTCTGACCCCGAGGCTCCTAGGGAACGCACTAACAGCAACGACCCGCGCGGCGGGGGGGGGGGGGCTGAACGCGTGTGGTTCGGCTCACATGGTGGGGTCCGCTTGGGTACAGTTTGGGTGCTGTAAAGACTGGTGTGAAATCTGGACTCTGGTTAGGACACTGATCCTCAGACTCGGAGTAATCGTCACGCCATGTGTGGATCGTCCATGATCATTAAGATGCACAAATGCCTTGCAATTCAAAGATTAACCCAGCCACCTACATGGTGGTTGAGTCTGTTGGCTCTGTTGAACCCCACATGTGCATCAATCCAAGAAAATGGACCTGGAATCTGATCCCACGGATCCTGATCTCGGATCGGATGAGATCAGGGATACAGCTTACAAATTCATTGAGAGATCCTGTGAGACTATTCTTACTTTCTCGTCAACACAGAAATACCAAAGATTTACTCGTTGCAACTCATGAAAGTTTTGTGTCAGTAGTTTTATTTCGTTGCACGCCATATGTCATAGTTTTGAAGCACTTATTCACATAGAAACGCTTGAAAACATAAACTCATCTGTTGTGCATGTCAGAATCTACTCGGGTCATAGATCCACGGTCTTGGTTTATCGGCTAATCTTATGACATCATAGACCAGGATGCATTTTTTTCACCGGAGATGCTGTGGGATCAAAGATCCTAGCATGCAGTTTGCTTCGGCATCCATTGAGATCATAAATCTATCAGTGAAATCCTTACATATATATGTTTGAACGCATTATTTACAGCTGTTGACTGGTGGACCCACTATCCACAGATGTTGACTATGATGAACCCACTATCCACAGCTGTTAACTGGACCTGGTGGACAAACTATCCACAGCTGTTAACTGGTGGACTCACTATCCAGAGCTGTTGACTCTGGTAACTGTTGACTCTGTTTCTGCTGAGTGCACGTCTGACGTAACACAGCCGACACCAAGTTAGTTTGTATTTCAAACCGTCTGGGAGTGGCCACAGTACGCTACACAAAGCTCGATAGTTGGGCCGGAAAGCAGCCAGGACTCAGCACGGCATCGCGCGTTGGAAATCGCCAAAATCCTGCTCATGGACTCTTCTTATTCTTTCGCTAAAAGTACTCTACTAGCTAAACGACTCAAATTCACTTTTACGCGGCTAGACGAGTTGGCAGTTGGCACACTATCGTCATCAGAGCACCTCAACATACCTGGTTGCTCCTAACGAGCTGAAGGGCAATGAAGGCATGTTTGCTGCATGATGTTCTCTCTCCGGATAACCAAAGAAGCAATATTTCATCTTCTGCCAAACTGACGAAGACAAAACGTAGCACAATAACTGGGCAAAGTGATCCGGCGGCCAATGGATAGGGACTACATCACCAGCTGAGGTTATATTTTGATTGTCGCCTAAATATCTTCGAGACATGCATATGTGGCGCCCGGCAACGAGTTAGAGGGCCGCGAAAATCACGTCCGTTTTAGTTTCATCGATGAATAGCGGTGGGATTGCACAACGCTATAACGGACTGGCCTCCCCTCTTAGCATTATCCGTCAGGCCACATGAGTTCATACATACAAATTCCGTCGTTTTCCGCCGATAAGAAGCAGAAGCACACTGCAATAAACACTATAACGAAATAGGGAGCTTGTTTGCGTTACGTTCATCCCTGCGCAGCATTTGTCACAGCCGCGGCCACCGCGTCGTCACAAATGTCGCTGATGCAGCCACCACGCTTTCATAGATGTCGCTTTTACAGCCACCTTTTGCTGCTGCAGTAACCACATCAATATAGATGTCACTGCTGCATCCATGGCGCCATCATAGATGTCGCTGCAACTGCATCGTTATAGATGTCGTTGCTGCATTCGCCATACCGTTACAGATGTCGCTGCTGCATCCGCCACACCGTTATAGATGTCGCGACAGTTTCGTCGCTGATCAGGAAGCCTCCCCTGGTTTCGCCGCTGATAAGATGGATGTCGCCGCCGGCTGGTGTTGCCGATCAGAAGGAGGTGGTGTTGCCGATCAGAAGGAGGTGGTGTCGTTGGGCAGGTACCGCCCCTCCTCCGGTGTGATGTGGCAGACTCCCGGCGCCACGCGGTATCCGCAGTGGGTCTCCGGAAGACGGTTCTGCGCGAAAAACTCTGCGGGCAGAAACCAGAAAACATGACACAGTGGGTCTTTGCCATACGGTTCTAGGCAAAAAATGAAAAAGAACACTGAGGGCAGAAACGAGAAAACGTGACACAGCGGGTCTCCGGTGGACGATTTTTGGTAACAAAAAATGTTTACGACATTTAGGCTAAAGAAGCACGGAACCAATAACGTTGTTAGATTTTAGCCTACTCCTTTTTGGCTTTTTCATGTTAGCTAACGCACACGTAGCTATCGTAAACACAACGTAACGTAGCGGGCCAGCAGCTAAAACCCCAACACTCCAACCTCTCCAAGGGTGCCGTTCAGTCCAAGGTCGAGCTAGAGTTTCTCGAAAAAAGGGCGTGGCTCCTGTGGCGAGGGAAAGTCGATGGAAGGTATTCTATTTCAGCCGCTAGGTTACTGGCTGACCTTCCAATGACCAGACGTCCGGCAAAGCAGGATCTGCTAAAACTTATCTAGGTGATGTTTCCTTATCTATTTGGGGTGCTGATAGCGAATGAAGCATTAGTTGCACTCAACATATAATTCATGCCTTTTTAAATTAAAACAGCTGGGTCAGGTCAAGAACCCTGATTATTCTTAGCCCGGCGGCCGCTGGGCCTCCGCGCCACCTACCGGCCACTGAGGGGGGGGGGCAGCGTGTGCCCCCCAGTTAGGAGGATCAGCTCTCATCCCTACCACTTTGTGGCAATGCTTCCAGCTACGTCAAAAGGTGTGTCTGTTCACTGGTCAGTCGTCACGCTACCCCTTGTGACGTCACTGGTGGAACAGCTGAGCCGCAGCACGCCCGCTCTGGTGTGTCTCGGGAAGGGGAGGGGAGGGGCAGAGCCAGCAGTCTGAGCCTATCCAGAGGCTATTTCGGGGTCTGGTGGCCGGGGAGGGGGGGGGTCTGCCCCTGCCCTCTGGATATCGCCAGTCGACCACAGCAAACTATGGGGACGAGTGGACCAGAATCAAACTGATAGTAGGGTGGGGATACAGAATATAGAGGGACATAGCTGAGGCATATTCCCATCTGGGCCCATAGCGACCCATTCATCCATGTTTTATAGATTATTCTGTGTTTAACCGGTAGTATATTTGACCAGATGAGATAAACTATATACGTGACATTTCCCAGAGACATGCCATACCACGTGTTATTCAATACTAGCACTTTCAAACAGGATTGTCTGGAAAAGGAATCATCCTGACTAAATTTCGTAGGATTCGGAAAAAAAATCTTTAAAAAATAACCGAGAGGTCGCATAAAAAAAATGTTTACACATCTGTCACATCCACAGACCATACTTTGCAAATCACCGTGACGAAGAGTCCTGCTCCTCCCCACCCGCCCCTGCTTCTCCCCATCCGCCCCTGTCCGCCCTCACCACCCACCGCTGCTCCTCCCCACCCGCCCCCGCTCCTCCCCATCCGCCCTTGTCCCCCCTCCCCAACCGCCCCTGACCCCCTCCCCATCCTCCCCTATCCCCCTCCCCACCCGCCCCTGCTCCTCCCCTTTCACCGCTGTCACAGAGTCCTGCTCCTCCTCCACTCCCCACCCGCCCCTGAGTCGCCACTCACGTGTATAGTCCTTTTTGGGTAGCCGAGGGGTCTCTGTGCGCGGCGCGGGCAGGTCGTCACCCGGCTGTTTCCGGTAGGGTGCCGGAGGCCACTTGAGGTCACCGCGCGCCCGGACCGGTACACGCTGCGCCAGCTGCTGGTCGTTTTGGTACGCCTGTAGCCGGTCAGGGCAGGTCAGTAGGGTCAGTGGGGTCAGGTCAGGTCAGGTCAGAACAGGTCAGGGCAGGTCAGCAGGGTCAGTAGGGTCAGGTCAGGTCAGGTCAGAACAGGTCAGGGCAGGTCAGCAGGGTCAGTGGGGTCTGGTCAGGTCAGGTCAGAACAGGTCAGAGCGGGTCAGTAGGGTCAGACTACTATGCATTTCAGACCCCATGAGACCCTAATTTTTGGCGATAATTTGTTCAATATTTGTCCAATTTGCTTCAAATTTTCACAATGCACATTTCAGCTCAAGCGCCAATTTTCGCCAATATGGTCTCTTAACAAAATATCAAATTTTAGGGTACTTGTCGTTGCCTCGTAATGTTAAAATCGGCTCCGTAAATCCGTCAGTGGAGTAGAGGCTATCCGTGCGTAGGTGTGACGTCACAAACACGTGACCATTAAGCTCCGCCCTCCCGGCGGACGGGGTAGTGACCTTGGCCGGTCAGTCGACTGCGTGGGGCGGGCGGGGCAGTAGCTGTCGCACCGGGGCGGCTCGCATGGACCGTAGCTGCTGCCGTGCGGTTGTCGTTGCAGCCGTAATTTCATCGAATGAGCTAAATAGCGCGCATAAGTAACGCACCAGCTGAAGCCCTCGACTAATTGTATCTATCACAAATGCACGTACACCTTGTTCAGTCACAAAAAATATATATTTCCACACAAGATTCGGGGCTTGTGAAAAACGCGCATAAAAGACGCTGTTGATTTCAAATGATTGCGTAAGATTATGTATCACGTCAGACTACGTCAAAATTGCAAAACAGAATCACCATTAACATGATGCAATTTATGTGTTTGATATATGAAATTTTATTAGGAGTGTATGCCGGCGTGATCGATTTATATCATCCCGGTGCAACTAAGCATTGAACACCTTCAGGACTAATCCATTTGATCATCTACTTAGGTTGAGGAGGTCGCCGGACTAACTTTGCCCCCAGAGCTTGTGTGTTGAAATGCAAACATGAAAAGTAAAAGCCTAGAGATAGTTTCCTCACCATTGAGGACATACCTACTGTTACTTAAGTTTTACAAAAAAATACGAGTTTATTGATGATCGTTCTCGTGTAGTGCCCAACGTCCGCCTGCCACATTGCTATTTCTTTTTGTGCACGTCTTAACAATATATCACACACATGACACCGCGATAAAGGCCATTTCTACCATACGACACATTACGCTTCTGCCCCACCCGGCGCCCCGCACCGCTTCACGAATCACGAATACGGTCTTTTCGCTGGAGCGATGCCCCAGGCAATCGGCCGTGCCCGAGACTCTTCATCCTACTTTGTTGCTTTCTGCGCCTTCCTCAGAAACATTTATTGGCACTGCCAAATATATCAATATTTTTGGGTTAAGCACAGGCTTACACATGATCTTATAGGTAATCGGGTAGTGACCTGACCCAACCTGACGATGAGATAGGTGCAACTCCGGCTTAAATAAATGTTCAGAGTTTAAGAGTCTATCCATCTTTCCTTCTACGGCCGGTTCCGTTCCAATAGATCCTACCTTGATTCTGATCATTCTGAATATTCTGAGCTGGTTCGACGTTTAAATACCAAAATAAGGTGAAGAGGATACCAAATGCCCTCAGACGGATAATTTTTTTGGCTTTCGTCCCGAAACAACTTTGCCAGCTTCACTTGTCTCCAGTATGTGGTCCCGCTCCGACCTCTCCGCGGTGCTGACACCGACTGAAGCGGCATAGACCCATCCCGGTCACGGCCAGTGGGCGGAGTTTAGTTGGGCCCGGCGCGACGTGATTGGCCAGCGCTCCTATCCAATCCGGTGCGGTAGCGAGCGAGCCTCTATCCGGGTGCAAAAACTGATTAACATTACGAGCCAACGACAAGTGCTCTAAATTTTGATATTTTGTTAAGAGACCATATTGACAAAAATTGGCGCTTGAGCTGAAATATCGTTTGCCTAAATTTCAAGCTAATTGGACAAAAATTGAAGAAATTATCGCCGAAAAGTAGGGTCTCATGGGGTCTGAAATGCATAGTAGGAGAGTCAGTAGTTCAGACCAGGAGGGTTAGGCCAGGTCAGGTCTACAAATCTCAATTGAATACCATCTTTTTGGTATACCGATACCAAACCGATACCAGCTTGAAATTCGGTAATCTAACGATTTTAGTATTTCGTTGGTATTGAGAAGCCTTGGTAATGTGTTTACTTAACGTTTAACCCGGCCGGGCCCGGGGGGTAATCCCAACCACCGCAGCCCGGGGGGGGGGCGTTTTTCGCCCCCCCCCCTGTCTAACTCCGTAAATAAGAGAGCTACGGAAACAAAAGCGATACCAAACGAAAGGTCCTTACGAGACGATTCTAATGCACTTAAACTTTTTGACCTCAGGGTCAATTTTCAAGGTCAGAGGTCAAGGTCAAAGGCCAAAACCGGCACATGTGTAGTGATCTCAAAGTAAGCCTTCTAGAGGACGGCAGGCTGCATCAAACCGGCAAAATTGGGTGTCAAACGAAAGAAGAGAATCTGAGGATTCTGAAACTGTGCTCTAAATCAAAGGTCAAGGTCAAGGTCACGCTCAAAATTGACCTCAAACTTGGCACTTTTTCGCACATCTTGCGTGCTAACTTCCAAGATGTTTTGAAATGTTTTGAGGCTTATCAGTTCCCTATTTGTGGTTCATCTTACGATACAAGGCTGCTCAAAGGTCAAGGTCACACAAGAGTATCCCTGCTAGAGGCTATTTCACTGATTCAAGTTAGTAATAATAAATAAGACAATTTTGCCATCCGGAAGCTCTAAATGAAGGCTTAGAGGAAAATAGATGCCAGATTCGTGATCAGCGGGTACAAATCCATCATAAACGACCTTTCATGTGTCAAGGTCAACCAGAGGTCATTCGAGGTCACATGAGGTCAACATGAAACTTGACCTTTTCCGAACAAAATATATATCATTCGACGCGGCTTGACAAGGCGAATGCGATGGTACCACTGCTGTAGCTCTAGGACCATTTTTGTCGAAGTTATTTGCGAAAAACTAAAACCACATTTCGGGGTCGTTGACCTGACCTCTGACCTCAGGTCACCAAAACTATTTTTCTATTTTTCTCTAGGTCAAACGCTACACAGCCGTGCTCGTAATTTGTCTTTATCTCTAAAACTCTATTTTTAGCAGCTATTTGAAGTTTGCGTCTGTGACGCCGAAGTTTGCCGTGCAGGGGTCTAGAAAAAATGGACCTTGTGACGTCATCAAGGGGGCTAGGTCCAAATTATTTACTTCAGAAGATGTCAAATTGATGGGAGAAAAGGTACTGAAAGTTTCGCCTTCCTATCCCTAAGCGTTCGGGAGTTATCGCAAATATTCGCCAGGGGGGGCGAAAAACGCCCCCCCCCCCGGGCCCGCGAGGGTTAACATTTGGTAAAAAGTAGGTATTTTTTATCCGAATCTGCTAGTTGGTTCGGTTTTGTTTTCTGTTCCAGATATCGGTTTGTATTTGGTTTGGTAACGGTTTGCAAATAACCTGTGATCGACATCACTTGTCAGAACAGTTCCGGTTAGGCCCGGTCAGACAGATTAGACTGAAAATAGCCAATATCTTTGTCAAGGTCAGAACAGACCGGACTGTTCAAGGTCACATATCACGAAAATCAATAAAAAGAGAGAAAACAGAGACAAGTTACGAAAAGCAACTGAAAAGCCAGAGGAATTGGACAGGTCAGGTCGGTGACCGAAATGGGTACCTACTAAAGCGCTGGACGCCTCCAGATGTACATATGTAAAATGCAGGAAAATCGGGCCAAGTCTGAACAATCACTGGGAGTGACAGCGACAGTAACAAATAGACGAACTGGCTGACAGACAGACAGACAGACAGACAGACAGACAGACAGACAGACAGACAGACAAACAGACAGACAGACAGACAGACAGACAGATGGACGGACGAACAGACAGACAGACGGACAGACGGACTGACGGTATGACACATTGTACTCGTACTAACTAACCTGTGCTGCCGCCTCGTGTACTGGTCTGACACATTGTACTCGTACTAACTAACCTGTGCTGCCGCCTCGTGTACCGGTATGACACATTGTACTCGTACTAACTAGCCTGTGCTGCCGCCTCGTGTACCGGTATGACACATTGTACTCGTACTAACTAACCTGTGCTGACGCCTCGTGTACTGGTACTGGTACTAACTAACCTGTGCTGCCGCCTCGTGTACCGGTACTGGTACTAACTGACCTGTGCTGCCGCCTCGTGTACCGGTATGACACATTGTACTCGTACTAACTAACCTGTGCTGCCGCCTCGTGTACCGGTACTGGTACTAACTAACCTGTGCTGCCGCCTCGTGTACCGGTATGACGTGTTTGATGTTTTGCTGCTGAGGGGCCCGGCATGCCGTCGTGTACGCGGCCGACGCGTTCATCTTGTTACTGTGAACAGATACAGATATTCATGTTCAGCCTCTGAACAGACAATATGCTTATATTGACTCAAAAGTGTGATCTCTGAAGGCGTTTATATTTAGCCTGTAGACAGGCAAGTGTGCAGACTTTGCCTGCGTCTATGTGCGCTCTTATTTAGCCGCCAGCCACCCTTGTTTCGGGATACTCAGCCAGCGGTGAAGACGATGGAGCGCCGTTACCGCTGGTAGCTGGGGCTAACACGCATATGAAGCGAGGAGTACGAGTAGGTTCGGAAGGAAACAGGGGCGTGGCCTCTGTCCCCAAACTTGTACGGACACATTCCGTAGGTCATAACAATCGTCAAAAGCGTTAACCACACCAATGATATTGTTATCTACGTCTCGAAACGCCGTTTCGACGCTTGACGTTGACCCGACTTGACCCCGAATCACCGAAAATTACTTATCAGAGCCCTCAGAGCAGTCCTCAAGTTCAATATTTTCCTCTTCACGTTTCCGTCCATGTCTCTGCTTCTACATAGACGACACATCGGCATGAATCGAACACCATTCGAAAGCAAATTGGCTGGTGCCGCATTTTATGACCACGCAGCAAAGCAAGTGGCGCAGCAGCTTGTTTCTTCTAAAATAACAAAACAAAAATGTTTCATGACCACTTAGTATTATGCTCAGTTGCAAAAAGCTAACTTCAAGTTTACGGCGTCATTTTTGTGCGAAAAATTGCACTTTTAGTGACATGCTTCGTTAGAAGTTTGAACGGATTTTGTTTATTTTTTGTTGCTCATACGACGACCCTCTGTCGGAAATATCACCATGACGAAATATGTCAGCTGATTTATAACCAAGTTTCAGCTATACTTTGACAGCTTTGGTTTAACTGGTTTGAGTTGCTGAATCATGATTAGGCGGATTGAATGATAAGCTCTCAACTGAAATTTGTCTGGTGAAATTCATGGCCCCCACTATCCGATCAGGTAGCCGTAACGTCTCGCTGCGATCTGACGTCACGTCTGACCTGGTCGTCATGGCCATCGTCTCGTCGTCGGACGTGAATGACGTCATGTCTGGTCTAGTGGCCTCGATTTCGAGCCGGTCTGGTGCCTGATCCAGCCCCGTCTCCTCTCTTTCTCCAGTTAGACCTTTCGGTTTCGGTTTTATGCTATTCCAACATGGTTTACCAGCATCCGCTATTTTCCGTTTTGATGATCCATTTCTAGCACATGTCCTCTACAAGTACTACTGGCTCGTTCCCGTCACCATTCAGTTACCCTGTGTTCTGACTCCTTCCTAACGTGATTGTAATTGAAATTGCTTATGAGTAATGTAGAATGAATCAATCTAAAATGAGTAGTAATGTGAGTAGGTATGTACTTGTGTGTATGTACTTGTGTGCATGTGCGATACTGGTGTGTGCATGATGTGTGAACCAGATTTAACATCACCAGGGCCAACCGGCATTCGTGATTGTTGTTAACCCGCGCCCGGCTGGGGGTCTTGGATTTCCACGCCCTGCTGGGGAGGGGGGGTGTTTGAACACCCCCCCCCCCTTGTAACTCGGCTCCTGGGCCACGTAGCGATACGCGGAAGGCGGCGTTCGAAAGAGCGTCAAAAATAATGACGAAATCACTTCGGTCACTTTTTTGGTCAGGTCAAAGGTCAGGTCACCAGAGGTCATTGAAGGCAAAATTTCGCCTATTTCCAGGTCGAATGGCGAAAATTTCCAAGAAGCCAACGCATAACTCGGGAACCAATAGAGCTACAGCGCCGCAGAAAAGCGCATTCGATAGCCCTATTAACGCCCTTTCTGAGTAATTCTCTCAAATTTGACCTAACGTCAACGGTTTTGCCTGCAGGGGGCAAAAACTGCAAAAATAGCCGATTTTTTCGGAAACAGTTTTTCTTCAATAACTTTTGACCCAAGCCCTGTACGAGCTTACTTTTACCGGCATCGTGTTCCTCTCGTCAAGACGCATCGAATGAACTATAACTTGACCTTGAAAGGTCAACTTGAAAATTTGACCTCAGGTCAAGGTCATGACCTGACCGGAAAGGGTCATGTTGCATATCAGTCGATCCGTATCGTCGAGCTGAACACATCTAAGGCGTTTTCATCGCTCTAGCATGCCTCTATCAAAAGTTATTTGCGAAAAACTGTTAGATACCATTCGTGACCTAAGATGACCTCAGGGCATAAACAAGGGTCACGGACACCATTTTCATGTTCAGTGTGTCTAAACCACTTGTAATTCGGTGTTTGGGAGTGTTTATAATGTCTTTCATCCAAAAGAGGCGCATTTCAATTTTCTCCCATTGACTTATAATGGGGAGGTCGCAAAATTGACCTGACCTTAGGTCATCGATATCAAAATTCTGAGATATACATTTTGTACATGCTATTGCTCTTAGCAATCGCTGACAGTTTCAAAGCGATCGGTCACTCGGTGTAGCTATGACAGACATTGAAACTTTTTATGAGGTGAGGTCACTTCAAGTGACCTGGTGACCTGACCTTGAATGACCTTGGTCTGAAATTTTCACAACATGTGTAGAATTGATGTATGATAAGGTGTACCAAAAACGGCGGCGCTCCGCGCCGCCGTTTTTGAGATATTTGCGAAAAACCACAGGGGGGGGGGTGTTCAAACACCCCCCCCCCCCCAGCAGGGCGCGGGTTAATACATGATACATGATACATGGTACTTCCTCCTTTGCCGTCTCTTCCCAGCTACCCTCTGTCCTGACTGGTGACCCCTCCCCGGCCCCTCCCACCCGCAGTCTGGCCGCTCGACTCCCCCTCCCCCTCCCCCTTCCCCCCGCCCGGTCTGGATAGTGTGCCCGCGGCCAGTGGTTCTGGAGCCCCTCGCTGAATGTCTGACCGCAAAAATAGCCCGCGGCGCCGCCAAACGGTCGAGTGAGCCGACAGATGCGGATCCAGGTCAGCCACTGCGGGGAGGTCCTCCACGCAAAGTTTTACAACAACAGTAATCAAACATAGGAAAGTAAATAATGGGTAACTTAGTCTCAAATACAAATGCGACCTGTTTGGACAACTGGCCTCCCTGTTTCAGTGCCTGGAGTCGCCCCTGTCGCTCGCCCGAGGTGGTCTGGAATCCACCTCGGGGCCGCCCCGAACAATAACACCACTGGCCGACCTAGCTGTACCCCGCGGCGGGGTGGTGTGTTGACACGGGCTCACCTGAACACCCGTCCAAGGTGTCCGGGCTGCTCCTCGCGGTGACGACAAGGTAACACTCAGTGACACAGTTTTTGTTAGCTGAGGTTACCGTTCACAGCGCGCTGTGCCAGCGCTACGCACGAAATGAAAACACGGAGAGAGGACGATAGGCGAGGTGATGGCTAATTTGATCGCGTGAAAACGGAAATCGCTTGGATAAAGAGCGGCCGAGGCCACCTGTTAATCAGGATTCGGTTGCTGTGATAGCTCACTTATGATATATCTGCTGGTAGAGTTAGCAATGACATTGTATAGATGACCTGTACGCTTCATGGTATGCATATGCAGACATATCCAGAGTTCCTACAAAGTGAACTTGAGCCACGATGTTAGTGTTTATTTAAGCTTGCGATGTTCACCGATGAGAACATTATACCGTCACCGCAGCCTAAAGGGGAGGCAAGTTGACCCACTATGTTAATTGCATTACTTGACGAGCCATGCATATTGGTGTTATCCGAGCCAGTTCTACCTCGCCCACTTCCCGACATAGACTTCCACCTCCTCCCCCTCCCCCTCCCTGGTCCCTGCCAAGTGCCAACCACCGCGGTCTGCGACTAGGGTGGTCTCCACTCCCCGCATCTCATAGACAATACTTTGGTGTGCACCTACTATAGGTATATGATTAGGATGGATGGTCCTGCAGTCGTTCTGCACCTGGTGAAAATCCTGGCAGCTTTCTCGTGTGTTACTGAAATACACGTAAGCAGGTCAATTAGGACTAATTTATCACTAGGACATGACATCTTAAATCGAAAAACGGGGGCAACTTCAAACCACTTGACAACATAATGCATATGCTTTTCCATGTTTTTGGGCGGGCTGGTACTTGGAGTGGTTGCAGTAAATATGCACGTAACTAGCGTAGAAGCTGGGCATAAACTTCTCCGTCGAGGGGGATAAACGGAGGCGGGGCCAGGGGCAAGAGGACGAAGACAGCCACTCATCAACATCGGGTCCTTTCACTCCAAATAAATTATACTTCTAGACGACTAATATAGATCCAACGATCTATAAAACCCTAGGATGATAATTTATCAGCTGTATCGATGTCCTGATGGCTTATCAGGTTGTCAGTCGGAACTCGTAGCACCAGCAGAGTGGAGATTTCTTTGGTGCAATACTATATGCGATATGGTAGGGGAGAGTGGGGCTAGCTGTTACAGGGGTAAGTTGTTACAAAGGAAATATCTTTAAAAATACTCTTGATATGGCACCAATATTTACGCTAGCAGAAAGGTTACGCACATTTTACATGTCACTGCAGGCTCAGACCTGGTGGAACGCCATGTCGCCCTGTAGGCGCACTGGGGTAAGTTGTGACAGCAAAAGTATTTTTTGCTGGCCAACACTTTGGGTCGTTTTTTGTCAAGGTTATTTGTGTAAGAATGTTGAATGTATGTTCACAAAATTAAGCGATGATTTCTTTTGTAAGATCACCAAGTAAAACGCACTAGCCTCTTCATGTAAACAAACATTTGAGTTCAGTCTTGAGAAATTCGGCCGCCGCAGGGCCGGGGCATGTTTAAAGATGGCTACCCAAGACTGCTTATAGCGTGCTCCATTTCACCTGGGCGTAAATTTTGTGCAGAAAATCAAACTCCGGTCAGTATGGCAATGCATGGTGCCCTTGGCGTCGCAGTAAAGGCAAATCAGAGATTGGCCATGTTTGATGAGCCTTTTCATGCGTGTGGAGTACAGTAATGGTTTATGCTTTATTGTTCTTGCCTTTCAATGAGAAAGGAAAGCATGTTTAGTATTATCCATTAGGGAGGCTTATGATCGGTTCCGATAGGACGGGCAATGACCGTTATAATGATGAAGAAACTACGAAAAAAGAAGTGTAACATGTTACCCCATATCGTGTATCAAGTTGCCCCACAATTTTTCAACTTACCCCAAAAATCTTGCTTTGGTTTTCTGAATTTCACATAAAAGTGAATAGTCGTAAAGAAGTGAAAGTTTGCATGTGCTTTCCAAATTGATTCAGCTAGCATGTGACCAAATTTGGTGCAATTTCATTGAATAGCTTGGCCACTAAGTGCAGAAGACCAAAAAGTGTAACGTATCGCCCCAGTCTCCCCTATTTATCTCGGATGATATGGTCCGGTGTTTTTTTTCGCGTAAGTTGCACCATTTATACGGCTAAGGCCCAGATCACAATGAGGAACGTCCGATGATAATCGGATGACGATGTGGCTGCTTGTATTTATATATGATCCAAGGCAATATCAGAATAAACAATATCAACAATCATTTGCAGCTGCTTGATTTCTGAGACAAATAAAATTAAGCTTCGCCCTAGTGGGGAGGGGGGGGGGGCATATGTTACTACCCTGTCGCGTTTTTTGCGTGTGAATAAAAAACCGCGGCGCCGTTTGGGGTAGCTTTTGGTACATCAATTTTGGACAATGTGTGAAATTTTTGACCCCAGGTCATGTCAGGTCAGGTGACCAGGTCAAGTTAACTGACCAAGCCTAAAAAAGTTTGCAGTTATGTCCAGCCTGCAGTGTTTGTCAAAAAGGTTTTAAACTTGGTGGACTGCATGATGTTATGGGCGCCTACAATTTGTATATCACGGATTTTTTTTTATATCCGTGACCTAAGGTCAGGTCAGTGGCGTGACCTTTCTATTACAAGTCAATGGAGAAAAACGAAAATGCCTCTAGATCCGTGTGTACGCATAGGAACAGTCCAAATATTTCAGAATCACAATGATTTGGACCACCCGTGATGACCAAGGTGTAATTTTTGCTAATAGCTTCTCGAAAGGTCATCCGAGGTAATTTGAGGCTACAAACAGATTTTTGCCAATAACTCGCGATTGGACAGAGACATAACGCTGGGGATGGTCTCATTGTGTTTGTCTTGTTGGGCTGCATCGACTGATATGCAACATGACCTTTTCCGGTCAGGGCATGACCTTGACCTGAGGTCAAATTTTCAAGTTGACCTTTCAAGGTCAAACTATAGTTCTTTCGACGCGTCTCGGTGAGAGGAACACGATTCTGGCAATAGAAATGTCGAGGCTTTTTGTAGTCGAAAGTTATTGTCGAAAAACACTTCGTAAAAACAGCTATTTTTGGAGTTTTTGCCCTCTGGAGGCTAAACCGTTGACCTGATGTCAATTTTGATTGTGACCTTATCAAAAGAAAAGTTCAAAAGCTATCGATTGCTGTTCCATGCGTTTTTCTAGCTAGCATAGTTCCTGAGATAACGGCATATTTTCTGAAAAATATAATGACAAATGGCAGTTTTTGACCTTTGATGACCTCTGGTGACCCCAATATTGCTCAGGGATGAAAAATGACCGAAATACTTTCAAACGTACGCATTGAGAGCTATCGACTGCTTTTTACTGCGTCTTTCTAGCCCTCTTAGTTTTTGAGTTAGAGGTGGGTGGTAACATATGTCCCCCCCCACTAGGGCGAAGTAGGCTGAGACCGCCACTGGGGAGCGGAATAGCCTTTGTTATAGTACTGCCGGTAATAAAAGAAGCTGCTGCAATAGCATACCTCGATTTGATGGAGGAACTTCAAAGAAAAGACTATCACATTTCACAATCGCTGCTAAATGCATAATTTATCTAACATATGTGCGTTATACACTTTTACAATCGCCACCATACCTTTACAAACTATCTACTTTTGTCGATAAACACATGTATCGCTAGCGCAAGTGAGTAACTTAAAAATGAAGCATAAGAAAACAAACATATCACAGCAACGTTCCATTTAGCTCCAAATTTTCCCTCGAGCAGCTCACCCGAAATAGGGCCTGCCTCGTTCGGTCCCTTAACCCGCGCCCCGTTGGGCTCTGCCGAGCAACGCGCCCGGTTGGGGGGGGGGGCATTTTGGTCCCCCCCTAAGATCTCGAGAACCACGCAACATAGCGACAAGCGGTAAACGGCGTTGGATAGACCCAACGGGGAACTACCTTGTGACCCAATTTTATTGACCTAGGTCAAACCGATGACGTCACAGGTCAGGTCAAATGTCAAATTTTCACCGTTTACAGGCATTTCAAGAAATGCGTTGTAAAATCGAGTAAAATGCGTTTCATTGAAAATCATCGATGGGGAAATGTTCTTCAAACACATATTTTGCTATTCGAGGTCACTGATACCAGGTCAGGTCACAGAGGTCAGGTCACGGGGGGTCATAATATGAAAGTGTCGTGTGATACATGTTTTGTGGTCCATTTTACATGACAAATGCGATTATGTGGGTCAGGCAGCCTTTGGGGCCAGCTTAGGTCACGTTTTGGCCAAGGTCAGGTCAAGGTCAGGTCAAGGTCAGGTCAAGGTCAGGTCAAGGTCAGGTCAAATTAGGTCAAATTTCAAAGTTGATATTTTTGCATAAATGGGTATCGAATCGATGCAGCTCGTCACGGGGAGTTGGTGGTCTTTTGGAGTAACAATGGTGGTCTTTGTTTTGCCGTACGTGGTCTAGAATCGCTAAAAATTGAGTTCAAAAATTTGACGTCATCATTTTTGAACAGTTTGTTCGCTATAACTTGGCCAAAAAACGAGATATCGATCTGAAATTTGGTATGTATATAGAAGAGCGCTGGGACTATCACCAAAATTCCGGTTTTTTTCGAAATTCGGAATTTTTTTGGATTTTTTCCTAGTTTTTCTAAAAACATCAATTTTTTGAATATTTTTTGGTCAAAAACCAAAACTTTTGACAATCCGAGGTAGCAGTTTTGTAGCGCCGCTTTTTGTCTACTAGACCATATAAAGAACTTTAAAACTGCTTGATAACTGTAGATTTGGTGAGCGTTTCAAGATTCATGTTTTTTGCTCATTTTTGCTCGAACATGACCTCAGTTTGACCTCAATAACTCCTGACCTAAGGTGACCTAAGACTTGAAATTTGGTGTGAAGGTGTCAAATTGATGCCCGGGAAGGTGCTAAAAATTTGGCGGCGCTGCGCGCCGCCGTTTTCTTGCTATTTAGGAAAAACCACAGGGGGGCCAAAATGGACCCCCCCAACGGTGCGAGGGTTAAGTGGTATTCACACAACCCCTTCATTGCTTTGCAGCATTTGTGTGTGTAAACTCCGCACCAACGACAGTCACGGGGACTCTGCTCACTGCAGCGAGTGGCAGCCGATTTATGAACTCTGCTGCAAGCTGATGGAATGCAAGGGCCGATAGGAAGCGTTGCTTTGCATTTACAGATAGGTTCGCAACATTTCCGGACATACCAGGGAGCACTTTTATATGAGTCTCAGTAAAAAATGCGAATTTTAGCAAAAAAAAAAAAAACAACACACAAACGAATCTCCATTTCCACTATCTCTTTCCTTTCTCTCTATATCTCTGTTGCGTCATCTCTCGCTCTCCCTCTCCATCCTTTCCCACCTCTCTCTCTCTCTCTCTCTCTCTCTCTCTCTCTCTCTCTCTCTCCTCTCTCTCTCTCTCTCTCTCTCTCTCTCTCTCTCTCTCTCTATCTTCCCCCTTCCTTACCTTGTAGTATTGTCCGTCCTCTGAGTCCACAGTCCGTCCACTCCTCACTCTCGCTCAGCAGCAGTCCGACTCTCCCCGCCCTCTCTGTCCGACGCGGCTCGACTCTCTCTCCGTCGGTAGCGTCGGCTCCGACGAGCAGCACGGCGGGTGAATCAGCCGTCTGGCAGCGGATGGAGAGTTCCAAACAAAACACCCAGTGTCGGCCCACACCCACCGCCCTGCCGACCACCGACCGCCGGCCACAGGCCTGTCGACCTGCCGACCTGTCGACCATCGACCGCCGACCACCAGCCAGCCGACCACCAACCACCGCCTGCCGACCTGCCGAATACCGACCTGCCGACCAGCCAGCCGGCCAGACGGTCAGACGGCCACCGCCGCCCTCCGCCTGCCGACCTGCCGACCTGTCGACCAGCCAGCCGGCCAGACGGTCAGCCGCTCACTCCATTAGCTCCTAGCCGGCCTAATCGCCATCATCTGTACACACACTGGTAACTGCAGCACCGACAGCACCGACTGCAGCTTGACCGGCAGACCGGCCGACCATCTAACCGAATATCGACCACCAGCCACCGACCGAAGCTGCCAACCAGCCACTGGATGCTGGTAACTTTTGAAGTTACGTGTGATTTTTATCAACATTCGATAAAAAATGTCAAGTTGCTTGAAAGAGATGACCTCAGGCGCATTTGGGAGAAGCAAAATGTAAGGCAAACCATAAATATCTTAGAGAGGAATTATACATTTTGCACTTTTTAACCCGCGCCCCGTAGGGGGGGGCGAAACGGCCCCCCCCCCCCCTGTCCTTTTCGGTCGATATCTCCTAAACGGCTGGAGATATCGCCACCAAACTTTCAGGACCCCTCCGGGCATCAATTTTACACATTGTGACCAAAAATTTTTCTAGAGGCTATGATAGGTTGGCCACAAAAGACGTCAGAGTGACGTCATGTTCTGTCATTTTTGACCGAAAAAAGACCTTCGCGAGAAGACCTGTCAGGCCTACAGCTTTGAAGATACAGAAAAATGATCAACAAAAAAGGTGTAGAATTGACAGGGCTACAAAACTGCTATCTCGGATTTTTGAAATTTTTGAGTTTTGACCCCCAACAATCAAAAAAGCATTTTTTTGGATATATTAGCAAAAAAATCCAAAAAGTTTTTTGAGTTTCAAAAAAACGGAATATATGTGATAGTACCTACTGTCTTCTATCTACATACCAAATTTCAGATCGATACCTCGTTTTTTGGCCAAGTTATAGCGAAAAAACTGTTCAAAAATGATGACGTCAAATTTTCAAACTCAATTTTTGGCAATTCTAGACCACGTAGAGCAAAACAAAGACCACCATTAGACTCCCCGTGACAGCTGCATCGAATCAATACCCATTTTATACAAAAATATCAACTTTGAAATTTGACCTAATTTGACCTGACCTTGACCTGACCTTCACCAAAACGTGACCTAGGCTGGCCCCAAAGGCTGCCTAACCCACATAATCGCATTTGTCATGTAAAATGGACCATAAAACATGTATCACACGACACTTTCATATTGTGACCCCCGGTGACCTGACCTCGCTGTGACCTGACCTGGTATCAGTGACCTCAGATAGCAAAGTATGTGTTTGACGAACAATGTACCATCGATGGTTTTCAATAAATTACCAATTTACTCGATTTCACAACACATTTCTTGAAATGCCTGTGAACGGTGAAATCTGACCTTTGACCTGACCTGTGACGTCATCGGTTTGACCTAGGTCAATGAAATTTGGTCACAAGGTAGTTCCCGGGTGGGGCTATCGAACGCCATTTGAATTTTGAAAATCGGCCGGTAACTTTCCGAGATCTTAGGGGGGGGGCCGAAACGGCCCCCCCCCTACGGGTGGTAGGGTCCGCCGGTAGCCCTACGGGGCGCGGGTTAAGGGTTGGATCATTTTGGGCTATATTTTCTGAACGCGCATAAATGAAAGCATGACACTATATGTTTCAGGTTAGTGGCCTGAATTGAAATTGATATACAGTTGAGAAAATAGCTGGTTAACCCGCGCCCTGCTGGGGGGAAGGGTGTTTGAACACCCCCCTTGTAGTTTTTCGCGAATATCTCAAAAACGCCGGCGCGGTCACCAGGTCACTTGAAGTAACCTCACCTCATAAAAAGTTTCAATGCCTGTCATAGCTACACCGGGTGACCGATCGCTTTGAAACTTTCAGCGACTGCTAAGAGCAATAGCATGTACAAAATGTATATCTCAGAATTTTGCTATCGATGACCTAAGATCAGGTCAATTTTGCGACCTCCCCGCGCCCGTCTGGGGGTCCTGGATTTCCACGCCCTGCTGGGGGGGGGGGGGTGTGTTTGAACACCCCCTTCTAACTCGGCTCCTGGGAAACGTAGCGATACGCGGAAGGCGGCGTTCGAAAGAGCGTCAAAAATAATGACGAAATCACTTCGGTCAATTTTTTGGTCAGGTCAAAGGTCAGGTCACCAGAGGTCATTGAAGGCAAAATTTCGACGATTTCCAGGTCGAATGTCGACAATTTCCAAGAAGCCAACGCATAACTCGGGAACCAATAGAGCTACAGCGCCGCGGAAAAGCGCATTCGATAGCCCTATTAACGCCCTTTCTGAGTAATTTTCTCAGATTTGACCTAACGTCAACGGTTTTGCCTGCAGGGGGCAAAAACTGGAAAAATAGCCGATTTTTTCGGAAACAGTTTTTCTGCAATAACTTTTGACCCAAGCCTTGTACGAGCTTACTTTTACCGGCATCGTGTTCATCTCGTCAAGACGCATCGAATGAACTATAACTTGACCTTGAAAGGTCAACTTGAAAATTTGACCTCAGGTCAAGGTCATGACCTGACCGGAAAGGGTCATGTTGCATATCAGTCGATCCGTATCGCCGAGCTGAACACATCTAAGGCGTTTTCATCACTCTAGCATGCCTCTATCAAAAGTTATTTGCGAAAAACTGTTAGATACCATTCGTGACCTAAGATGACCTCAGGGCATAAACAGGGGTCACGGACGCCATTTTCATGTTCAGTGTGTCTAAACCACTTGTAATTTAGTGTTTGGGAGTGTTTATAATGGCTTTCGTCCAAAAGAGGCGCATTTCAATTTTCTCCCATTGACTTATAATGGGGAGGTCGCAAAATTGACCTGAACTTAGGTCATCGATATCAAAATTCTGAGATATAAATTTTGTACATGCTATTGCTCTTAGCAATCTCTGAAAGTTTCAAAGCGATCGGTCACTCGGTGTAGCTATGAGCAACATTGAAACTTTTTATGAGGTGAGGTCACTTCAAGTGACCTGGTGACCTGACCTTGAATGACCTTGGTCTTAAATTTTCACAACATGTGTAGAATTGATGTATGATAAGGTGTACCAAAAACGGCGGCGCTCCGCCCCGCCGTTTTTGAGATATTTGCGAAAAACCACAAGGGGGGTGTTCAAACACCCCCCCCCCCCCAGCAGGGCGCGGGTTAAGTCAATGGGAGAAAATTGAAATGCGCCTCCTTTGGACGAAAGACATTATAAACACTCCCAAACACTGAATTACAAGTGGTTTAGACACACTGAACATGAAAATGGTGTCCGTGTGACCCCTGTTTATGCCCTGAGGTCATCTTAGGTCACGAATGGTATCTAACAGTTTTTCGCAAATAACTTTTGATAGAGGCATGCTAGAGCGATGAAAACGCCTTAGATGTGTTCAGCTCGACGATACGGATCGACTGATATGCAACATGACCCTTTCCGGTCAGGTCATGACCTTGACTTGAGGTCAAATTTTCAAGTTACCTTTCAAGGTCAAGTTACAGTTCATTCGATGCGTCTTGACAAGAGGAACACGATGCCGGTAAAAGTAAGCTCGTACAATGCTTGGGTCAAAAGTTAATGCAGAAAAACTGTTTCCGAAAAAATCGGCTTTTTCCAGTTTTTGCCCCCTGCAGGCAAAACCGTTGACGTTAGGTCAAATCCGAGACAATTATTCAGAAAGGGCGTTAATAGGGCTATCGAATGCGCTTTTCCGCGGCGCTGTAGCTCTATTGGTTCCGAGTTATGCGTTGGTTTCTTGGAAATTGTCGACATTCGACCTATAAATCGGCGAAATTTTGCCTTCAATGACCTCTGGTGACCTGACCTTTGACCTGACCAAAAAATTGACCGAAGTGATTTCCTCATTATTTTGACGCTCTTTCTAACGCCGCCTTCCGCGTATCGCTACGTGGCCCAGGAGCCGAGTTAGAAGGGGGTGTTCAAACACCCCCCCCCCCCAGCAGGGCGTGGAAATCCAGGACCCCCAGCCGGGCGCGGGTTAAAAATGTTAATGTAGGCCTAGTTTCAACTCCCTTTTATTGTGTTTTGGGTTATCACCAAAAATGAATGAATACAAATAAATAAAGTATGAATACAACACGCTTAGCGTTAGATAATATTTACCCTAAAAAAGTTCGTAAAAACCGTTTTCACGATGGCTATCCGGCGAATGCACCTAATTTGACCAAATCTGTACCAAATCTCTCTAACACCAAATGCTTTTAAATAATGAACTCATTTCAGTGTTTTAGTAGACGATAATGTCTGATAGTATAACAAAGAAGGCATATAAGCAATCAGCGCGACCCAAGCTAATAGCTACGAAGAAACACACTGAACCTAATTTGACCAAATCTGCACCAACTCTGACCAAATGTGTACCAGATGGCCGTCGTGAAAACGGCTAATGCCATTCACGACACAGCCCTCTTCATTGTTTGGCTGTCTGACCAGGGTGACGAATGATTATTTGTCCTGCGTTTGTGCTGCATCTTTTTCTCGTCCTCTCGTGCGCAGTGATGATGTGTAAAACCGCGTGGTGTCTCTTTTGTGAGTGAAAAAAGTCATTAGAGTGAGTGAAACCGCGTGGTATCTCTTTTGTGAGTAAAAAATTCATTAGATGTGTGTGAAACCGCGTGGTATCTTACTTGCCCAAGTAAGCAAGCCCTTTTATACAACAAAACCTGTTTGTATCCCAAATCTTATCATACAACGCATAATTTAGCATATCATGTGTTGTTGTAGTAACCACAATATAGCTTATTGCGCCATATTTTTAGTATAGTCTTATGCAACACAGACTCCAGTTTGTGACGTGCACCGAAAGCGACCAGACATAAGCTGTATTTTACTCGTAATAAAATTCACATATCCTTGTATGTATACTGCAACGGCTATCAAACTCAGCAAGCAAATCTATTGATGACCAGCTTCGATAATAAATCGACTTGTATTAACTATTTTTTCAGCCTTCTCAAAACATGATGACTCCAGACGGTGATTCACAGTCCGTCCCGCCCCCTTCTTCTTCTTCTCTGCGCGGTCGCGGACCGCGCCTAGGGCGCGGCCGGCGGGGGCGGGTCGGTGGCGACCTGCACCCGCCCCACTCTTCTCAAGAAGTTG